AGGTAATGGGACTCAAGTGACTAATAAAAATTTATGGCGCCAAGTGACCATTTTTTAAAAGTTATGATACTTAAGTAATCGAGAAAAAAGTTATAGTACTCAAGTGAGAGCTGTGGAAAAGTTATGGTACTTGTGGTGTTATTATTCCTATAAACATATATCGAAAGGCTAAATGTGGTTGTAGATGATGATTTTGTTGTCCATGCAATATGCACAAGAGTTCTGAAAATGAACGCTTGCTAATTGGCCCAATAATAACCTTTATTTTAGTATTTATTATTGCTATACGAACTATGTAATTTGTTGATTACACAAGTCAACTCTCTTACCCTTGATATAGGTATAGTTACAAGTTTTAAAATCAAAATCAAGTGTGCAAAACATAATTTATATGAGGTGATATAGTTGTTTCTAGGAGGTATTGTGTTCGTATAATCTTTCAACGTCGAATTGAAATGCAATGATTCTTGATCATTCAACAAATCTGATTGTGATTTTTTACCTTTCGATCTAATGTTGAAGGCTCTGGACTTTATTTGGGCCCATCACGTGTAACATGATGTGAAAGTTCCTTCATCATAAAAGTACATGTCTGTAAATCTTTCAGTGGGGCTGGACTTTATTTGGCCTCATCACGTGTAACACAATAAAAATCCATGACTCACGAGGAACTAAGCCCATGAAGTCCGAAAGAATAAGTCAAGAACTCGTAGGTCAAAAAGAGAAAAAAGGAAACGATAAGTTGAACTAATTGAGGCCTTTATAAAACCATAATTCCTTCCAACTGGATCCCGAATTGTCACTACTTTAATAATTGAGTTTAGTCATATTATTAAATTGAATAGCTTTGTGCTCGCAATAACATAATTAGACTATTGAAGGGAATTCAGAATGAGTTGAAAAAGTCAAGGACTTCATCATCAAGACCGTCCACATGATTAAGACATCATTGGAAAAAGAAAAGAGGGAAGCATAGCAACAATATATTTTCGAAGAAACTGAGGCAAAAGAAAGATGGGATAATCATACAAATAATCTCTAAACTTTAACGCAATTTATAATGTGATCCATAAAATTTTAATTTGTTGAATGTGATCCCTAAATTTTTAATTTGTTCAATGTGATTCCTGAACTTTTGGTACATATTCAGTTTAGTCCCTGAACTATATGAAAATGTTTAATGCTGTCCTTCAATTAATTTAAGTCCGAAGACAACATTGACCATTTTTATTGAATATGTACCGAAAGTCTATGGACTATATTGAACAAATTGTACATTAAGCTAAAGTTCAAGGATCATATTGTACAAATTAAAAATTCAAGGACTACATTACATATTAGATCAAAGTTAAGAGATCATTTGTATCATTTTCCTAAGAAAGATAAAGCTGGGGTTGATTTTGTTGTTTATCCTAAGTTCAAGTTTTAGGGCTATTGACCGATGACAAGAGGGTCGAATCAATTCCCACAATGCGAAACCAGCGGCGAATATAAGTTGCTGCTGTGTTTTCTTGGAGTCAAGATTGCTGTTGCTATCGCTTGACTTCCACTGGGTCAAAATATGTAGTTCTCAGGATTCACACCGTGACAGGGACACCTCGTCGTCGGCTTACTTCGATGAGATCGAGACAACAGAAAAGGACGAATGATCTGAAAAGGACAGATTTCACGGCGTTTCTTGCCGGTGCGTGATAAAGACCATTCGTGAGTCGATGAGTTTGAATTCTCTCTATCGACTCTGTCGTCAGATGGTGATCAAAAGTTCATAGCCATCAACGGTCTTTTTGGTCTCTTACGACTTTTAGTCCGCCGTTTCTTAAAGCGGTGATTATAAGGTAATCGCCTCGCTTAATCAACATTTAATTGAGATTTTTGACTAATCAACTGTCTTAAGCGAGGCAATAGAGCTGTCACAACGTACCAAAGATGTATTCCATTAACATATGGGCCAAAAGAAGAAAAACAAGAAAGAAATACCATAAAGGTGCAAACAAGAAAGGCCCAAATGTCATTTGATCTCTCAATAACTTGTTGGCCACTTACTGACATTTTCATGACACTACTAAAATCTTTTTGCTAGTTCACGAATTATTGAATTTTCTTATCTTGAACTAATTTACAAGTCAAAGTCTTGAATTTTCCACCTCTCAGATGAATTTACCGAATTTTATTTGAGTGACTATTTTGCCAGAACTTTTGTTCTCGCAACGAAATATTTTCACAGAAAGTAGTTCTTGGGCTTTTAATGAGAGGAGATTGGATTTTGTGGCGATTTGGGACATGAGGTGTTCGGGTAAATTATGTAATAAACATTTTTACTCCGATAGAAACAATGCGAACTTGGATTGTGGTGTAACTTAATTGACGACAAAGCCCAAAAAGTACAGTGGGTATAAATGTAAACAGATTTTGTAGGAATCTAATTGATGACAATACCTAACTTCACTGGAATATCACGCAAGAATTTAATCGACGACACGAATCTGAAAACAACAACTAAGGAATTAAAAGTATTGTGCAGGAAAGCTTAAAGATACTTTAAAGATAACATTTTGTTTGATTTGTGCGAGGGGCTCTTTGTTGCACAGGTAATTAGCTGCATCACGTCTTATGGCGGTGATTATAAGGTAATCGCATGGCTTAATCAACATTTAATTGAGATTTTGGACTAATCAATTGTCTCAAGCGAGGCAACAGAGCTGTCACAACGTACCAAAGATGTATTCCATCAACATATGGGCCAAAAGAAGAAAAACAATGAAGAAAATACCATAAAGGTACAAACAAGAAAGGCCCAAATACCACATTTTTTTTATTCTTCTATTGTTATATCTTTTTGCAAAATTTTCACCAATTTCTCATTTAATCAAAACATCACGTTGGTCCCAAATTACGTAGCCAGCAGAAAACAAATGACGACCGGTATTTTTTAAAGAAGAAGTGATTTTCAAGCAATTGGATATTTTTGGACAATCCAAATCCGAAGTAGCAATTTAGCAGAGCGCGTTCGTTTTGCGAAAAATGAGTGATTTGGAAAACTTTTTCCGAAAAATGATCGCTTATATCGTTTAGAAAAATGAATGAATGAAATTTTTTTATTGCCCGCAAAAATAGTGAGGCATAAATCGTTATCGATGATGAAAATATTTTCCGTAGACTAATTTTTCTAAATGATATAAGCAATCATTTTTCGGATAATATTTTTCAAATTACTTATTTTCCGCAAAACGAACGCACCCTTAGTTTGCTCCGGCAGGCTACCCCTGGACTTGGGGCTCATTGATTAGTCCATTTGGGGGAAAGGAATACCCAAGCAGAAAGTCCTGCTCGCCTCTTTATTATTATGTTTGACCTACGCGTATGGGCGAGTGTCGGAGTATTCATGTAGTAAACAACTCTTCATCAATAGCTTAAGTTTTTTAGGATAGTTAGTTTTGATCTCACAAAATTTTACAAAAGGAACTACCAAGTCAGGGAAAATTTACGAGGAACCCTATTTGATGTATAAGTCTATGATGTTTCGATCCAATCTTGTGGTGTCATTCTCTCTATAGTTTGTGTCCCTTGAAGTTATCTTGGGATGCATGAATGATTTCTCTTTAATGGAACCATGGCATCGAACAATATTTGATCATCCAGAGTTGAACCCTAAATGATAAAGGAGAATCAAGGAATATGGGGGTGGTTTGGGGTGTAGAGTGGGTGCTCGTGGAGGAGGCTCTTGGAGGTCGAGAGGGACGATGGCGGCGGCGGTGATGGTGGTTGTGGTGGTGATGGGTTTGGGGAAGAGCAGGGAATGAGAGAGTGCAGTGGTGATGCTCTCGTGGCTGATGGCGAATGGTGGTTATATTTGTTCTATCGTTTTATTTTATTTTTGGATTTGACACGTGGAGATTGGGCAGGAAGTAATTGGCTGGTGATGGATTGCGTGGATTATTTGAGTGGTGAAAAACTTAAAACTAGATAGCATTTTGTACCGTTTAGGTACGGTTCCGGTCAAGCGACTCTCTTTTTTGCTTGTTTTTTCGAAGGCCGTCCAATTGAAGAAAGTGTTTTATGAATGGGAAAATAACATCAATGGTCTTTGAAATTTGATTTAATGTGCAATGTTATTCTTGGACGTTTAATTTGTTCAATGTGGTCTCTGAACTATTAGTAAATATTCTGTTAAACTATGTCCCGAGTTTGAGTCCGTTGAACGAACCCGACCCAAACTGAATTTTGTATAAGCTGGGTACAAGAAAGTTCAAAATACAGATATTATTTGTCGTGCATGAGTCGTGAAGTAATGAAGACTGTTTCGGTATTGAAGTTGGAGAATGAATAATCTTTCCTGATGGGCGTTGGAATCTTGGCTTGAAATAGGAAAGTCCACGTTGGACTTTGAGCTGGACTTTGAATCAGTCAACAATGGATCAGTGAAAAGAAGAAATAAAATAAAATAAAAGGAAAGCTTGATTGGATTTTGTTTCCTAATCCCAATCGGCGTGAATTCTTTGACTGAGTATCAATGGACTTCTTTAGGCGGTGAATATAGGCATATATATTCCAAAAGATTTATCTTTAGGTGAGACTATATCAAAATATTCAATGCCATCTTTTCATTAATTCAAATATGGCATCTGCCGATGTATCTTCTAACTCGTTAAGTTTGAACGGTGGATAACAAAAAGAAGTTACACCTGAATTATACAAGTAAAATATTCATATTAAATTAGGATATAATTTATTCATTTGTGAAGTAAATCTCATCAAGTACGACAGTCCCCTCATCCCACATATTGAAAAATGTTGTGCTCCTGGGTGACCCCAAGGAAATGTACAAGTGTGGTGATTGGAACAGCATTGAACGAGGAGGAACAAACTTAGAATGATTTATAACCATTGTCGAGTCTTTGTCGGGTCTTTTGCGTTCAACCCGCCTTTTGGGTTAGGTTGGACTAATTCGTCTTTGCTGACCCCGGCATCTGGGAGAGCAGCTTTAAAACTTTGGTTCTTGATCAATTTGTTTACCTCGCCCTCTAGAAGTCACATATTTTCTTACTCCTCTCGAGTTGAAAGAAAGTCCGTGGCCATCTTTGAATTACTCTTATTGTACTCGCGTTCTTTCCAAGTTCAAGAAAAGATGATTATCGATGCATCAAGAAATGTTTCCTCCGCTTTCTGGATTTCATGCCTGATCCTCTTCATCCCAGGCACTCCTGTCAGTGCAGAGACATATCTTCAAGAGCGGTGCGGAGATAGGGGCAACTACGCTGTTCATAGCAAGTTTCAGGACAACCTACATCGCCTCCTCTCCGGGGGGCTTGACAACAAAGGACCCATTTACGGTTTCTACAACACGACGGAAGGTGAAGATCCAGACAAAGTTTATGGTCTCTTCCTCTGCAGGTAAATCACATGCGAAAGATACCAGAAATTTCAAATACTTTTGAGTAATACCTTTCAATTCAATCATTATAATTTTTGGAATCGGCTCACTCGGTGCTAGGATTTATAATGTACCTGATATATTGGTCTTAATTAAAATCCTCTACAAAGTACGGTGGTCCAATGCCAACCCAAAAAATGCTACCCAGATTTAAGTGACGACTAATGCAACTTTACTATTCCTCTTTAGAGCGGATGTTGACACCAATCTCTGTCAGTCTTGCATCAATTCAGCTACCAGCCTCATCATAGAAAGATGTCCAGGACAGAAAGAGGCGACCATATGGTACGATGAGTGTTTTGTGCGCTATGCTAACAGATCTTTCTTCTCTATCATGGAGACATTGCCGATTATTTTCATTGTCAACCCTGCGGACGTGGAGCAAACTTTTGATAATGAAGACTTTGAGACAGAAGTGACGGATTTTGCAAGGAATGTCACAGGCTTGGCGATCTCCTCGGAAAGCTTATACGCGACCAAAAACATTAATGTCTCAAGTTCAGTGACCTTGCATGAGCTTGCACAGTGCACCCCTGACATATCAAAGTCAGATTGTAAGAGTTGCTTGCTTTCTGCTATCAAAGAGTTTCCTACTGTTCTTAATCATAAAAGGGGAGGTGCGAGAATTCTTCAGCCAAGTTGTAATATACGGTACCAACTGTATCGTTTTTATGGGGAACCTAGAGGACAAGCACCAGCACCTTCTCCAACTAACAAAACCAGCACTGAGTCTGGCATTAAAGGTATGAGTTATATAATACTCAAAATGTGCACTCAATTTGTCATGGTAAGCGTGTAATGGTATCATTCCATTGCTTTTCATTCTCAATATAAGCTGTTTTGTGTGTCATATTGCACTTGACTTACTTTTATGATCTAAACTATGATCATATTCTTTTGCTTTCACCGAGTTCTTGGTATGTTTAGATGCGAGGAATTTCTTTGTCTTGATAGGGGTCAAACGAGCTCCATGGATTACAATTGTTAGCTCAATAATTGGATCGTGTTTACTAATAAGTATCGTGGGTTTGTGCATTTTTTTGAAGAGGAGAAAGAGATCGAAGAAAGGTATAAGTAAATTCATCTTGCTTGCCATTGGAATGACCATCTTCTAACATTTACCTTATGAGAGTAAGCTCTTGGATCTCAGAGAAGGAAAACAGCCAAGAGGTTCAGTTACTTCATCTGAGACGAGAGATTGGAGAAGAGTTTTCGAAGGAAAACTCTCGAGGAGGAAAGCCGGTGGCTTCTCAAGAACTATCTTTGATACAATTAGACATCATACGGGCGGCCACAGGAAACTTCTCCAATGAATGTAAACTTGGGGAAGGCGGGTTTGGCCCTGTGTACAAGGTAAGGATTCTAGTGACTCAACACCAATTTATGGGGAAATGGAGAAAATCTTCCAATGGTAGCAAACTGGCAAAGTCGTTATCCATAACAAGAACTGAATCGAATTTGGTTATCTTTAGTAATTCTCACATTCGGATTTGACAACCGACTTTCCGCTGTTTCAGGGCACATTGGCAGATGGAAAAGAAATTGCAGTTAAGAGGCTTTCAAGAACCTCAGGCCAAGGACTTATTGAGTTGAAGAATGAAGTCATCTTGATTGCTAGACTACAACACAGGAACCTCGTCCGATTATTGGGATGCTGCTTGGAAGAACAAGAAAAACTCTTGATATATGAATACATGCCAAACAAAAGCCTGGATGTCTTCCTTTTTGGTTTGAGCTTTAGCCGATGCTATGAGTTTTTTAGCTAGTTAATTTTAGTTTTATCAAGTTGAGTTTCAACTAAGTCTCTTGTTGTCGACCGATTCAAATATGGGGCATAGTTAATTTTAGTTTCATAAAGTTGAGTTTCATTTGAGTTTCTTATCATTGACAGATTCAAATATGGGGCAATCTTTAGATTGGAAGATGCGCGTGAACATCACCTGTGGAATAGCTCGGGGACTTCTATATCTACATGAGGATTCTCGCTTGAGAATTATCCACAGGGATCTGAAAGCTAGCAATATTTTGCTAGATGGTGAGATGAATCCAAAGATATCTGATTTCGGAATGGCAAGGATCTTCAGTGTAAATCAAGACAAGGCCAATACAAATAGGGTTGTTGGAACCTAGTAAGTGCTTTAATATCATTCTACGTCCGTTACATGTTCGGATGATTCACTAGGCCAATAAAGGACTCTGATGATCAGCTCAATAGCACCATAATGAGCACATTCATATTTCATAAGTTTCATATAGAAAATTACTTTTCTTTGTTTCTTACTTCCAAACTAATTGCTCTTCATCACATAACTATGGTTAGTGGATACATGGCACCGGAGTATGCAATGGTAGGACTCTTTTCTGTAAAATCAGACGTCTTCAGTTTTGGAGTTCTCTTGCTAGAGATAATAAGCGGGCAAAAGAACAACGGTTTTCATCTCCGAGAGCACTGTGAAAGCCTTCTCACTTTTGTATGTTCCTAGTCACCATCCAATTTTAATATGAAATCCAAAAATTTCATGCGGCTATCCTTGCTTATTTTCTTTGCTAAATAACAGGCATGGAAGTTGTGGTCCGAAGGTCGAGGGTTGGAACTTATTGATCCCTTAATCAAAGAGTCATGTGATACAGTTGAGGTGCTGAAATGCATACACATCGGTCTATTATGCGTTCAAGAAGACCCTGTGGATCGACCAGCTATGTCACTCGTGGTTCATATTCTAGGAGGCGATACTATCACACTCAACCCACCATCGCAACCTGCATTCTCAGTTGGAAGAGATGTGAAGAAACTTTATTGTATTGTACGCAGTCAAGAAGCCTTCACTGTTAATGGTGTAAGCGTTTCAGATGTTTTGCCTAGGTGACCAAGTATCGTCATCGCATCTTCAATTGATTTCTCTTTTATACAATGAAAATGCCGTTCGAGATAATTATGATGTGTATTTTTATTCTCCATATCTTTGTAGGACTAGGCATATATCTCCCTTATTGTGCATATTATTAATTAATTGTAATATATTATGTCATGTTACCTTGTATAGTTATCATGTAAAGTCGGCTTTTGTTCTCTTCTTTATATATATAGAAATATACAGATCAAAACATTCTCTCTTCCGCATATTTCTTATGTTAGTATCAGAGCTAGATGATCTTGAGCAAATTTTTACTCCTTCCGGCTTCCTACTCCCTGGATTGGGTTAGTTTGTCCCGTTTGGATGTAATTTAGTAGCTTTGTATGGGGCAAATTATGTTTCTAGCAAGTAACAATCATATAGATAATCTAAGAAGGTTGAGAAGTTAATTACCTCTTCATTAAAAAGAAAAGGGTTAGTATTACGAAAAACTCTAAATTGGTACATTTGTAACAAATTTACATCAAACCAATTTTTTGACCACGAAAAATCCCAAATTGGTACACATGTAACAAATTTACTCAAACCAATTTTTTAACCAAAAAAATCCCAAATTAATACATCTGTGACAAATTTATCATAAACTAATTTTTTGACCACCAAAAATCCCAAACTAGTGCGCGTGTGACAAATTTATCCTTCGTTAGCTTCCATCAAATTTTACCGTTAAATTTGCTGACGTGGATGATACATGGTGAAGTGGCAAGTCCCTAGGATAAATATCATGAAAACACCAAATTGGTCAGCTAATGGATGATAAATTTGTCACAGGATTATTAGTTTGGGATTTTTGGGTGGTAAAAAAAAATTAGTTTTGGGTAAATTTATCACATGTGTACCAGTTTGAAGTTTTTTGTGATCAAAAAACTAGTTTGGGGTAAATTTGTTACATGTGTGCTAGTTTGGAGTTTTATGGTTAAAAAATTAGTTTGGAGTAAATTTGTCACATGTATACTAGTTTGAGGTTTTTCGTGATATTAACCCAAAAGAAAAAAAAGAAAAGCCTCAACATTTTCCATTAACGCCATAAAGAGAGCTTTTTATACTAATTATCTCGGCCATATTAGAATTTTGGCTTATTTTATACGTGTTTATAAATTCTAAATATCAAGGTAAAATTATTAGCGAAAAAGAAAATATCAAAAACATACCTCTCCTTCTATCCAATTACCACTTTAAGTGCTTCTACTATTGAAAATATATATCTAATTACCACTTTAAGTGCTTCTACTATTGAAAATATCAAAAATATACTCGAGTTTTACCTATGAAGACCACTTTGTACATTCACATCAATTATCTTTATGCACCTATTTACGAAAATAGCCATTTTCTTTACAAAATGTCCATCCCCCAATCCTAATTTTTTAACATCCACCAAAATTACCCATAACCAATTAAAAACAAAACCACCAAAACCCTAAGCAAGATATCAAAATGAGTTTGCAAGGAGGGGCGATTTGGTCTTTTTAATGTAAAGCTTTGGTTAGAGGTATGTAAATAATATTTACAAAGACAGAGGTATGTACATGGTTATTGGGTCAATAGTAAGGTATGTATTTTGTATTTTCCATTAAAAGAACACATTTTGTAGTCTTTCTTAATTTATATAAGGGTGGAACGGGCCGGGCCTCAATGCCCTTGCACAGACTCGACCCACCTGCGGACCAGAATTGTCCAGGCTTGCCCAACGGGCTTACAAAATTCAGCCAAGCCCACCCGTTGATGAGGTCCATCGCTCAGTGATGTCATATAGAGGAAAGTTACTACTTCTGACCAAGCATATTATGATCAAAATAGTTGGCATCTTATTCTATATATTCTTTCAGTATCCATCCAATCAATATGGCAGAGAATGTTTTCCTACTATCATTTGCCGACATATGATTCGGAGGACATAACTTTGTCTTCCAAGACACACTTATATAGGAAGCACAAAAGAAGAATGATAGACATGTAATATTCTCAATGAATCTACGCAAGTTATGGCTCTTGATGGATATTCGAAGCAAATGACACACATTTAGAAGAAATTCGGAAAGACATCGAGAGCTCTTGACTGTTGACTTTCGGGAAGCAAAAATCAATATCTCCGAGCTTCAAGAACGTGATGAGCAGCAGAGTCTTATTGGATCAATCATCTTAGTCCCATCATCTTCTTCATCAACATACATTGGAGATTCTTGGATGACCCCAAGAGAATACGTAAGTGGTGATTCCAATTATGATTTTGAACGAGAGACAAACACACTTGTGACTTTAGCAACCCTAACTCATAAGTTGTTAGGTAGCGCACGCCCGGAAGGTTCATCCTCGTTCTTTCTCGGAAAAATAAGCCAATTGGGTAGTCTCTCATGATTACAGAACTTGAAAATTGGACTAATCCGTCATTGCTCACCCCGGCATTAGTGGGAGCATCTGGAAAACTTGTTCTTAAGCAAATTCAACAAACGCAAGACCATAACCACAACGACGTAATTGATATTAAACAGAATTGTTTATGTGACTCCTAAATGCAACTTTCCTATCCTTCTGTAGAGGCGATGTTGCCGGCAGTGGCCGTCACTCTTGCATCGACTCAGCCACCAGCAACATCTTAGAAAGATGTCCAGGAGAGAAAGAAGGTGATCATGTGGTACGGGGATTGTCTCGTGCTCTACTCCAACAGATCGTTCTTCTCTATCATGGAGTCAACACCATACTTCGAACTGTACAACCTTATGAACGTACCGGATCTCGACAAGTTCCTCCAGATTGTGGCGGAAACCTTCAGGAACGTGATGGACTTGGCAATCTCCTCAGAAAGCTTATATGGGACCATCAAGGTCAATGTCTCGAGTTTAGTGACCTTGCATGAGCTTGCGCAGTGCACCAATCTTATCAAAGTTAGACTGTAAGAGTTGCTTGGTTTCTGCAATTGATCGTTTTCCTACCTTTATTGGCGACGGAAGGCAAGGTGCGAGAGTTGTTTGGCCGAGTTGTAATGTACGTACGAACTGCATCCTTTTTATGGGGAACCTAGAGGACAAGCACAAACACCTTCTCCAACTAACAAAACCAGCACTGATTCCAGCACAGAAGGTATAACTTATATGATACTCAAAATGTGCACTCACTTTGTCATAGTATTTGTATAACGGTATCATTCCGTTGCTTCTCATTCTCATTTGAAGCCGTTTTGTGTATCTTTATGCTCTTCACTTGCTTTTATGATCTAAACTATGATCATTCTCCCTTGCTTCCACTGAGTTCCCGGTATGATTTACACCCTGTGAAAAAAGATCTGCAGATATGTGGTATGATCAGATGCAGGGAATTACTTTATCATGAACAGGGGTCCAACGAAGAAAAGCTCCACGGATCGCAATAATTAGCTCAGTCATTGAGTCATCTTTACTAATATTCATCATGGATTCGTGCATTTCTTTAAAGAGGACAAAGAGATTGAAGAAAGGTATAAATGAGTTCACCTTACCACTAGACAAATGGATGTCCAGGACATAAAGAGGCGACCATATGGTACGATGAGTGTTTTGTGCGCTACGCTAACAGATCTTTCTTCTCTATCATGGAGGCATTGCCGATTATTTTCATTGTCAACCCTGTGGACGTGGAGCAAACATTTGATAATGAGGACTTTGAGACAGAAGTGACAGATTTGGCGAGGAATGTCACAGACTTGGTGATCACCTCGGAAAGCTTATACACGACCGTAAACATTAATGTATCAAGTTCAGTGACCCTGCATGAGCTTGTATAGTGCACCCTCGACATATCAAAGTCAGATTGTAAGAGTTGCTTGCTTGCTATCAAACAGTGTCCTACCGTTCTTAATCATAAAAGGGGAGGTGCAAGATGTCACGCCCCGAACCCGAACGAGCACGCAACATCCCTCTGGGGTCGTCAAGCATGCGACATCCCAGGACTTGTCGCCGACCCAACTTAACTCAAACGAGGAACACGAGCGGAAGCAAATTCGAACTCACCATACAACATACAATGAAACAGGGTAGTAGAGAGAGACGAACGATACACATCAACAAACCGCTTTTTAAGAACATAATGTTACTTACAAACGGCACAAGGTACAAGCCTTACTAGAGGCCACTATTGACGAACCACGCACAACAAAAAGGATCGAGTGGTTGGTAAGCTTAACTCCTCTACAAAAAGGGGCACTCAAAAGACGGGGTAACTCGACCTATTCTCAATCCCCGTAGTACCTTGGCAGTGTCTTCGGATCAATTATGGTCGCGGATCTGAAATGGTTATATTACAACAATGAGAATAAATCTCAATAAGCAACTACCTAAGCCTCGCTTAGGCCAAAGCGTACCTCCGAACAATTCTAAACATGCAATTCGAACAATCGACGTGCCATAAACAATCACAGGCGTCCTTACCTCGCCTCGACACATACACAAGCTCTGCACGTTAAAATATCACCATAACATGGCCAATTGCTCAGCAAACAAGCACACTTCAAATCATGGCATAATCATAAGAAACATACTCAATATTCCGGATTTCGAGCATCCACCAATGCATAGCATACGTTCACATGTATCTAGGTTATTAACGACCCCTCGGGCCACCGAACTCCCGCCGATCTTCTGGCATAACCAGGTATCGTCCCGCTACGTCGGCGAAGGCAACGTTGGGGATCGAACACCCCCCGGCAAGCCGGGTACCCAACGGCATTCCACTTAGGATCGAACACCCCCCGGCAACCTAGGGTACCAGACAGCATCCGAACTCCCGCCGGGCATCGTCTAGAACCCCCGCCTAGACGGAATGTGACGTGATCATGCACACACATTATCCACTCAAAGCCAATTTTTATCTTTGAGAATTGGTCACATGCCAACTGAATACTTATTCGGCCAATAAAATGCCACACTTTTCATTGATAACCCTACCTTTGAATAATTGCCAGAAAATGAGAAAACTGAGTATACACATAAATGGGTGATTCCGGGCAATTCTG